GAGGTAACTCACGCAACAACCTAATACACTGTACTTTGTGAATTCCCGTTCATGTTGTGGCACTTTTCTGAGACAGTGGGAATTAGTGAGAAAATGAAAAGATATTCTTTCCCTTATAATTTTTCCCTAAAAAACGCCACAAACAGTAATTTACGTTTCTTTCAATTTCTCTCCACATTTTTGTTAGATCCTCCCACAAATCTGCTTCCTCTACATTCACGAAATCGCGATGAATATCGAGTGAGAATTATCAGCACAGTCTGTCCGACATTGGACACACCTCCGGAGGTGTGTCCCGTCAATGCGGGGATAGCGACTCTACCGTTCAGCGAGCAGTATGTGACCAAATTGCTGAGTTCAGTTCACACAGTCCACTATGTGCGGTTCAACTTCACGGACACGAACTATGCCATTTCCGGTGCTCGCATCGAAACGACGCTAGATGGTCGGGCTTTCACCCATGTGGAGAATGTGAGACCACAGAATAACACTTTGTCACTGTCCAATCAGACCGCAGGTTTCAAATATCACGCTATGATCCAATTTTGTTAATTCTTAGGTCAATCCTACGTCTTTCAAATACATAAATAAAAAACAAGATAGTGTACCACCTTTTAAGTTCAACAAGGTAGTACACCTCACTGATTCTCGCGTGCTAGGTGTTAGCGTCATTCCTTAATTCAAAACAAAATGCTCGTTCAGAAAGAAATGTCACGTAGGTATTGTTGCATGTTTTATAAGCTAAGAGTAATCAACCATCTAATAGTGACTTTGTTCAACGAAAGTCTTCTTCCCCGTTTCCCGGGTATCACTAACTCATGTCACAGTGTTGTTCCAAATCCTGAGATTTTTACCTATACCGGATTACTGGGATGATGAGCCATTCTTTCTCGTTGATACGGTATGATCACGTAACTCACATCAGTAATTCTGTGGTTAAATAAGCTGGATTCAATTCTGGTTTGTTGACAATTTAAAGTTTGAAACAATTAACTTCATGTGGAACGAACTGTCGTTCTCAAAGCCTGTACATTTTCAATGACCCTTTTTGCGTGGTGTTCATGTTTTCATACACTTTGGTATTTCAACGAAAGTCTTCTTCCCCGTTTCCCGGGTATCACTAACTCATGTCACAGTGTTGTTCTAAATTCTGAGATTTTTACCTATACCGGATTACTGGGATGATGAGCCATTCTTTCCCGTTGATACGGTATGATCACGTAACTCACATCAGTAATTCTGTGGTTAAATAAGCTGGATTCAATTCTGGTTTGTTGACAATTTAAAGTTGGAAACAATTAACTTCATGTGGAACGAACTGTTGTTTTCAATGTTTGTACATTTTCAATGACCCTTTTTGCGTGGTGTTCATGTTTTCATACACTTTGGTATTGAGAGAAACCTATCCCACGTTTTTCCAAGTCGATTGTAAAGCACGGAGATCTATGAAACCCTTTGGGTTTCGATACTGGTGGGATAGCAAAATCCGACATACAATAGTATACCATGTAATCAAATCTGACTGCTGGAAGAGTGTGAAAGATACATCCATTTGATGCAACTGGGTAACTCACGTTCCATCTGACATTTCCAACAGTTTACTGAAAACAGATCGGTGCAAGTGATAATTGGGGAGCAATTATGAAACAAACTGCTGAATACTTATTTATTCCCCCTCTCCTTTTTCCTTGTAAATCGTTCTTTGA